GGATAACCAGAAAATGCAGTTTCTTGAATGAAACAATAGGCAAACAGTCTATTTAAACGTGAAAGCTGTTATTTTATGCTGAAATGCATATGTTGAAAGTATAATCATTCCCTGAAAAACCGGAGTTATTTCTTTTAAAGGCCTTTATTGGGCATTACTCAGAGTTCTCATTGTGCTATTAGCTGTGCTATGGTATGACATCATCACAGCCAAGTGAAATAGATGCGAAGCTGAGCTGTGAGATAATACTTCCTCTTTAGCAATATAGATTCTAAGTAACCATCAGCTTTTAGATTTCATTTCTATTCTGTCATGGTTAAGTCTTGACCTAAAGGGTGGGTGTTGAGTAATACAATTCTGAAATCCAACCTAGCTGAGATTTAAAATATCTAAATGTATTTTTTTTTTCTTTTGGTGACTGTACTGGGGCTTGAACTCGGGGCCTAGGTGCTGTCCTTGAGCTTTTTTGTTCAAGGCTAGTACTTTACCAGTTGAGCCACAGCTTCACTTCAAGCCTTTTTTGGAAATTAATTGGAAGTAAGAGCCTTGTAGACTTTCCTGCCTGAGCTAGCTTCAAACCATGGTCCTCAGTTCTCAACTTCCTAAGTAGCTAGAATTACAGGTATGAGCCACTTGGTGCCTGGCTCTAAATGTACTGGCTCTAAATGTCCTTTTGTTTTGGTGCAGGTCCTGGGCTTAAATTCAGGGCCTAGTCTCTGTCTCTGAGCTTTTTGTGCTCAAGGCTAATGCTCTATCACTTGAGCCACAGCTCTACTTTTGGCTTTTTGGTGTTTAACTAGAGATAAGAGTCCCATAGACTTTCCTGCCTGGGCTGGCTTCATACCGAGATCCTCAGATCTCAGCCGCCTGACTTGCTAGCATTACAGGCATGAACCACCATTGCTTGGTTCTAAATATACTTTTAAAACTTTAAAAAATTCATATTTTAAGTTTAGTCAGGTTGTTTGCAATATGGAGGTAGGAAAATAAAGAGGCTACAAAGGAATTTTGTGATTTTACTTCTTTTCTTTCTAATGAAAATTTAACTGAATTTATATTTTCTGAATAGTTGAGGGTTATACTAGCCTGTTCAGGCCACCATAACAGAACATCATAGACTGTGTAGTTTATAGACTTGAAAAGTTTGTTTTTCTCACAGTTTAGAAGTTGGAAAGTCCATGATCAAGGCAACTGTGTTTTTTGTCTGATGGGGGGTCGCCTTGTTCGTAGGTGGTACCTCCTACTTTATCTATCTATTGCCTCTTCTGTAAGGGCATTGATTCCAAACAGGCAGGTTTTACCTTCAAGGTCAGCTCACTTTCAAAAGGCCTGACTTCATACTATCATTGACTTCAACATTAAGATTTTAACATAGGAATTTTAAGGTCATACACATTCAGATCATAGTAAGGATGATGGCAAGAATGACCCACTGTCACATACTCATATTTGTGTAATGCTCAATTGTCTTTTCCTTTTTTTTTGGTCCTGGGATTTGAACTTAGAGCTTCATGCTTACTAAGTAGACACTCTACCACTTAGCCAGGCCCCTAATGCTTAGTTTTATTTTTTATTCATTTTTATTTATGTTTAATTTTAACTTAAAAAGTCAAAAGTTGCCTTTTAAGAAATAAATTGCCACTATAAGTTGATGGCAATTGATGAAGAGGGGACTAATTTAGGAATAATAATAGGGAATTAATGACTATCTAAAGTATTATACTTTAATGAATTTTTAGTTGGCCCTTATTCGTGTTGGGCTTAACTTTTGTGGCCAAACAGTTTATCTCTTAGCTAATAAGAATATTTCTAGCAATAAAAAAGAGGAATCACTGAATTGATTTAATATATGATCAGGTTTTATTCTGAAGTGTTCTCTTGAAGAATAAATTACAAGATATGAAATGATTCCTATCATAAATACTAACAAACATGGTTATAGATTCTGTAAGCAAGGAGGAGAAATACTAAAATAAAGCAATGTGGTATACTCTATGACATACTTAGTCTCCATTAGTCCTATTTATCTTAATTATCTTTTATTATTTTGTTTATACCCTTAGAATTCTATAGGTGTGTTGATGTACATTTTTCATTTTTCTCTCAGTTCCTTCTGTTTCACTGGCTCTAATTCTAGCTGAGTTTACAAACAGTTCAACTACATACACACAGATTAGTTGTCTGATTCATTTTTTGCAGTGTATCTCAACAACTTTTATTAAAATAAACTAGGTCCCGTTTGTGGTATTAGAACCTCTTTGGCATTGACGTTTTAACTTTTGAAGTAAATATAAAAATAACTTCATTTTTTACTTCTGTGAACTGAAGGAGAAAGGATTGTCTTACAGCTGAGATAGTTGGATTAAGATGACCCAGGTGAAGTTGTAGGGCTATGAGGTTTTTCGTGACCAGAGGGGTTGAGGGAGGGTTTAGATATGGCAACAACACTTCTGAATCCTGAGCTTTAGACCAAGTATAATTCTCAGTTTTTCTTTGACATTGTGGCTGATCTTTTGATCTATTTCCACTTCTGTTTCTACTAATGTGTTTTTCCCTCTCCTCAGGGGTTGGTAAGCATTCTATAAATAATACCTTATGTAGAGCTTCCTCTGATCTCTGCCCTTTGTTCTCATCTTTAGTGAGTTAGGTGAGTGTTTAGCTTTTTTCTAGGAAAACATTTTTCAATCATTAAACCTTTGGATGAAAAATGTAGAAAACCAAGTTTTAACCCTCTCATTATCTTTCCCAATATCTCTCAGAAGGTTTAATGTGAAAGAAATGTTTTCCTGCAGGTGTCAAAAGCAGTAGTTTCCTATTTCCTTTAACATCCTAGGAGGATCTATGTGTAATATAATATATAAGATATAAAAGCTCCTAAAGATGGCTTATTCTCATTAGACTTAAAAGAGTTCTGTCTATTGCTATATTGTTACAGTGTTTAGAAATCATACAAAGCAGAAACTATGGCTATGCTGAGGTTAACAGAAGCTCCATTAGTGTCAGAGGAGATTGGTTGTTCACTGAGCTTGTATCTTTTTAAACACATGTGGAGCCAAACTTGAAGGGTAACACTTCTAGTAGAATCCCAATGAGATAGGACTATAACCAGCTGAGAAAGACATAACTAAACAAAAGACATGACAAAACACGATGAGCCTACTTGAGCCTCACAATGGGATTTTTCCATACTTATTACTGCTGTGTATACATCATGGTTCTGTAGTATTTGAGATAAATATTGGTTCATTACTTATTTCCTCCATATATAAGTCTGCCTTGCAAATTCATATTAAGTGAAGTAAGCCAGACTCAAAGAAACATAAGTCCCATGGTTTCCCTTATTTGTCATAATTAGTTTACATCTAGGATAATGTTAGCAGATGAACAGAATAGCTCAATAGTGCTCTCTCTCTCTCTCTCTCTCTCTCTCTCTCTCTCTCGATATATATATATATATATATATATATGACCATATAAGATGATGCTAAGTAAAATGAACTTTTTTTTTTTGTCAGTTGTGGGCCTGAACTCTGGGCCTGAGCACTGTCCCTCAGCTCTTCAGTTCAAGGTTAGCTCTCTACCACTTGAGCCACAGTGCCACTTCTGGCTTTTTCTGCTTATGTGGTGCTGAGGAATCAAACCCAGGGCCTCATGCATGCAAGGCAAGCACTTTACCACTGAGCCACTTTCCCAGCCCGCAAAATGAACTCTTAAGACATGGACACAAGAGGTTTTTCTTTGTTGTTGTTATCGTTAATATACTATGTGATTTCTGGTTTCTTTTGTGTGTCCTTTGCCCTGTGGTTTATCTCCTGTTGTCACTGTATTTGATTTTGGTACCCTGGATATTGCATATAACGTTTATCTGAATTAGGGAAGGGAAGGGGAACAACAGAATGGTGAGACAAAGGACAAGAGGGAGCCAATGCAACAGTGATATTCACAAGACAATATGTTAGAAATGATCCGTACAACTTGGAGGGGATGGAGGGAGAGAAAGTCGGAGAAAAACGAAGGAGGGGGTAAAAAGTTTGACAAGAAACATACCTATGACCTATGTAACTGTCACCCCTCTGTACATCACGTTGACAATAAAAAAAATGATGCTCACAGTGCTGGAGGTTTTTACACTAAGCTCTACCCACAAAGAGAATTTTGAAAAGCACATTATTTTTTTCTACCTCATTAACAAGTTTTGTTTACTGGTTGTTCTTAGGGATTTCATGATTCCATATTGATGGGTAGCAGAGCAAAGATGCTGTGACTTCTTTTGGCTTGCCTTTTTCCTCTTCAGAGGAGGTAGTGATCTAGTTATTCTTACTTCTCTACAAAACAAAAGGCAGGGGTCTGGGAAGGTGGCTCAGTGGTAGAGTGCTTGCTTTGCATGCAGGAGGCCCTGAGTTCGATTCCTCAGCACCACATAAACAGAAAAGGCCGGAAGTCATGCTGTGGTTCAAGTAGTAGAGCGCTAGCCTAGAGCTGAGGAGCTAAGGGACAGAGCCCAGGCCCAGAGTTTAGGCCCCACGACTGACCAAAAAAAAAAACCCAGCCCAGGAAGACAAAGCCTAATACTACAACTAAGTAGAGGTGTGCTGCAGTGGTAGAACCTCAGCCTTGAACAACAACAACAACATCAACAAAAAAATGCGTTGTGTTGGTGGGCATTGGTGGCTCACGCCTATAATCCTAGCTACTCAGGAGGCTGAGATCTGAGGATTGTGGTTCAAAGCCAGCCTTGGGCAGGAAAATCTGTGAGACTTTTATCTTCAATTCACCAGAAAAGTGGAAGTAGCACTGTAGCTCAAGTGGTAGAATGCTCACCTTGAGCTGAAGAGCTCAGGGATAGTGCCCAGGCCCAGAGTTCAAGCCCTATGACTGACCAAAAAAAAAAGCACTGTGGAAGTACTACTGGTAAGAGGAGAGATACTTCTGTTAACATTACTATTTCCAAAGGAGGTTGGATTGCTTTTAATTGTTCTTCACTAATTTGATCTTCCTAGGTGGATTAAGTTCGAAGAAAAAGTGGAACAGGGTGGGGAGAGATGGAGCAAGCCCCACGTGGCCACCTTGTCTTTACACAGCTTATTTGAGCTGCGGACTTGCATGGAGAAAGGATCGATCATGCTCGACCGGGAGGCCTCTTCTCTCCCACAGTTGGTGGGTAAGTATGAGGTGTAACATTCTTGTGACTTTTTAGCTTTACAACTTCACAGATGTTCTCCAATGCATATGTCTACTAGTGTACCTAAAGTTGAATATCTTATAACATTTATTTCTTATTTTTATATGTAAAACTAGAACAAGTTCGTTACAGAAAAATTAGAAAATTCAGACAAATAACTTTATTTATTTATTTATAGTTGGGGGAGCTAGTTCTGGGGTTTGAACTCTGGTTGTCCCTAAGCTTTTGTGCTCAAGTCTAGCATTCTACCACTTGAGCCACAACTCCACTTCCAGCTTTTTCTGTGATTAGTTGGAGAGGTAAGAGTCACATGGACTTTGCTGCCTGGGCTGGCTTTTTGAACTGCAGTCCTCCTGAGTAGCTAGGATTATAGGCGTGAGCCACTGGTATCCAGGTTCAGAAATTTTTAAGAAAAAAAAATATGCCTGGGGGGGGGAGGGGAGAGAGAGAGAGAGAGAGAGAGAGAGAGAGAGAGAGAGAGAGTGAGTGAGTGAGAGTGAGAGTGTGAGTGTGGTTATAGCCATTGTTAACATTTTGGAATATTTACTTCTAAATTTATTTCCTAACCTTTTCTTTTGTATTTTGCAATTTTATAACAAGAGAATCTTGATTCCTTTTTTTCTTTCTGTTTTGGTGATACTGTGTTTGAACTCAGGGCCTTAGGTTTGTGTGGCAGCTACTCTACCACTTAAAAGCCTCAACTTCAGTTCATCATTTTTCACATTGTTTTTACTGTTTTTGGTTACAATTAGAATCATGTTGTTTACACACATATTTGTATTTCTTCCCTTCATTCATGAATATTTACTAGACTAATATTTTCAACAAAGCCCTCTTACTGTCCCATCTGGAAGTCTAAGCATTGGATTTTTTTTTTTTTGTTGTTGATCATGGGGCTTGAACTCTGGGCCTGGGCGCTGTCCCTGTGCTCTTCAGCTCAAGGTGAGTGTTCTGCCACTTCAGCCACCGCTCCACTTCCGGTTTCTTAGTGGTTTATTGGAGCTAAGAGTGTCAGGACTTTACTGCCCGGCTGACTTTGAACTGTGATGCTCAGATCTCAGCATCTTGAGGAACTAGGATTTCAGGCGTGAGCCACCAGTGCCTGGCAGCATTGGATTTTTGGAACTCTGTCCCTAGACATTGCAGTGAGCTACTCTGCAACTTACCCTCATGATTTGCAAAATATAGTTACAATCTTTGGTGAGATAGGAAATAGTCTAGTTTCTGGACTAGGCTTTTAGCTATGGACAGAGAAAGGTTGTAGAGGGCTGTGAATCAGCAGGGCCTTATGGGTTAATGACTGAATCAGTCATTGATGCCAGGACTCATTTGTATCATCAGAGCTCGTGAGCTTCTTGCCTGAAGTTCTGTCACTTAGAGATTCATTTCATTGAGCCCTAGAAGGGGTCATATATTAATTCCACCAGATGTAGAATGGTAGCACAGGAAGAAGACAGGGTTTAAAGATGGAGAGTTTCAAATAATATCCTCCTTTGTTAACGTGATGACCATGGGCAAAACAAGTACCTCAATTCTTTTGCATTTTTGAGTTTCTTCATCTGTGAAGGCAGAATGAAGGTGGACCTTTCAGAGTTGTTATGAGTGTTGAATGAGATAATCATGTGTATTCATCTTACACTTCAGCAAAATTTGTTTATCCAGGTCTTTCTATGTGTTCCCTCATAGAAGGTAAGGGAAGATTTTAAATAAGGTGGACAGATTCTCAGGGACTTCATGAATAGGAGAAAAGATTTCAAATGGTATGGTAGACAGAGCTAAGCACAGTGGACCAGCTTTATTATGTCTGGTGATGAAAGCTAAGAGTGGATTATATTCTTGAGCTATTTTGTAGAACTGTCCCAGGAGCTTCAGCCTCACATGTAGCCACATGTGGAGCTTCTGGATTTGAGAAACTGATTCTTTATGTGTAGTAGAAGATAGATTCTCACAATAAATTAGAATTTCACTACCTAATTGCTAAAGAGAGAAGTTCTGGTATCTACTACATTTAAGGAAGGATAATCAAAGCCAGCATGGGCAGGAATGTCTGAGCAGGAAACTCTTATCTCCAGTAAGCCACCAGAAAACCGGAAGTGGTGCTGTGGCTCAAGTGGTAGAGCTCTTGCCTTGAGCTGAAGAGCTGAGGGACAGCACTCAGGTCCAGAGTTCAAGCCCCATGACTGACCAAAAAGAAAAAAAAAAAAAAAGAAGGGATAATCAGGGCTGGGAAGGTGGCTCAGTGGTAGAGCGCTTGCCTTGCATGTATGAGGCCCTGGGTTCCATTCCTCAGCACCACATAAGCAGAAAAAGCTGGAAGTGGCAGAGTGCTAGCCTTGAGCTGAATATCTGAGGGACAGCGCCTGGGTCCAGAGTTCAGGCCCCACAACTGACCAAAAAAGAAAGAAAGAAAGAAAGGATACTCAATAATATTTGAGGTTTTTGCTTTCATGACTTTGTTTTTTTCCTGTTGGTACTGATAGTTGAACTCAAACATGGAGCATTGCCCCTGAGCTTTTTTGCTGAAGGCTAATGCTCTACCCCTTGAGCCACTGCTCCCTTCTGACTTTTCAGAAGTTCATTGGAGATAAGATTCTCATGAACTTTCCTGCCTGGGCTGGCTTCAAACTGATCCTTAGATCTCAGCCTCCTGAAATGGCTGTTTTTTTGTGTTGGCTATTTTCAACATAGGACCTTGCTTTACACTTGGAGTGATGGGTTCAAAATACTGGACTAAACCATTGTGCTTCCCTAGTATCTGGGATAACAAGTGACATGCCTCACCATTTGTTTAGATGGAATCTCACAAACATTTTTGGCCTGGCTGGCCTTGAACTGTGATTTTCCGATCCCTGCCTTCCAAGAAATTTTCCATTACTGTGTATTATCAGCTGTGAACTTTTTCTGTAACCACCATGCATTTATATAAAAAAATGGTCATTACATGATAAAATTAGACATCGCTAGGTCACTTTGAGGCATCATCATTCACTAATATGTTTGCTCCACAGTCCCTGGGGCAAATAGGCAGAGGGACACTGGTGTCATTCTGGTGCTGATAACACAGAGAAAGAGTTCAAAGGCAAACCACCCATCACGAGCAAAACAAAGGGACGGTAAAAAAAAAAAAGGGTCAGATTTGCAGAACTGGGTAGAGTAATTGGCTAAAAAAAAATAACAAATCCTTTGGAAGAACCCGAGCCTCGACAAAGGGTCACACATGAAGAGTAAACAGCCCTTATTTCATTTTAAATGCCAGAAGATTTCACAGTAAACTGAGGAGTTAGAGTTTATTATTTTGTTATTAAGAAAATCTTTTTTTTGAGCAAAGGGTGAGGTGGAGTTGCTTTGTCCTGAATCATGCTGACAATTCTGAGCAGAGAATTATACCCAGCCCGGTCTTAAGATGCATCCCCTCCAAACCCGAATTCTACTTCAACAAATGGGAAGAAAAAGAAATAATGGCAAATATGATTATAGCAAGAAAACAGTAGCATAGATTTCATCCATCTTTGGAATTCACCTGCTACCATGGCTCCTTGGGCCACCTATGAGAGACACCCCCACCCGCAGGCTCAAAGGCAGCAACATTGAGGGACCATGCACCGAATGGGGCCGAGTAGTGTGGGTGGCTGTCTGTTTAAGCCTGTGTCACTTGTCCTGCTTACATAAAACTTCCAGGCTAATTCTGATTCTTCTCAGGGCCTCTGTGTGCTTTTTCTTGAAGAAGAATCTCTTCTGCATGCTAATAGAAAAATTTATCTTAGAAGTATAAAGGATCAAACATCATTTTCATGGATTATTTAAATAGGTTTATTCTTAGCATCATCATTGTAATTCTAGCATGTCACCCAGATATGAAATCAAGTCTAGGGAAATTTTCCTCCACTCCTAAGTTAAAAAAAAGAATTATAATCCATTTCAGGTATTTTATTGCGATGAGAAATGGATGAGGAAAATGTAGCTCTATTTTTAGAGCTGATTTTTATATGTAAGGGCGTTCCTGAGCTATGTACATTGGCAGATGTGTGTCTCATTTCTTTTTTTTTTCTTTTTGGTTTGTGACTTGTTTTATATTTCCAATATAGCATTATCTTCATTGTTTTTTCCCAATCAGAAAACTAATATATTTTATTTAAAAGTAATTCAGAAAAATAAAATCCACAAAAACAAATATATACCTATGAATCTATTCTTAGAGCTACTCTCCTCTTCTTTTCTATGCAAACTCTGTTTACACTCGTGGAAATTGTCTTTGTTAATTTTGAAGTTGAGAATTTTTATGTATTTTAAGCCCTTTGTTTTTCTTTTAAGAATGTTTATGATCTTTGATCATTTTCTGTTACATGGCCATCTTTCTCTTGGCTTGCAAAAACTGTTCATATTAGTATTTTTTTGGCTAGAGCTTCTTTTTAAATAAAAATCGAGTGATAGGGAAAACGATCTACAATGTTAGTTTGGAAACCTGATTTTATTTGAGGCTTTTGCCTTTAATAATAAGCCAATGGCTGAAGTCCAGTACAATCACATCTCTAACCCTCTCTTTTCTCCTCTGTGTATAGCAGGAGTTGAACTTGATGCTCTCCGAAGTTCCTTTCAGCTCTGTTCTCATCTGGAGTTGTCACATCTGCCCCCAGTTGGTAGCATCTGTGGGATTTTTGAACAGTGAAGGCTTAATTTCAGTGTTGCTGTAGAATGTTACTGCCCCCAGTTTCCTTTGAAAGGTTTTCTCGTTTGTGCTTAAAGAGATCCCTATAATGTGGGGCATTTTTATGGAAACTTAATGAAGGGCATAAGCCACACAGATGGTTTAACCTGTCCTAACTGGTGATTTCCAGGCTTTAGTAACAGAGGGCTGGCTGCACTGTATACATGTGGATTGGATTTTGACTTCAAGGCAAGGAAGAGAGGGAGGCCCTGCCAGGAAGGGTAGATAAGAAACAGTTGAACCCACAACCCTGGAATTAGAGGAAAGAGTTTGATAACACTTGCAGTGATATGCTCCAGCCTTTGCTGGAGTTTACTTTTGTGGTGGCGGTTCTGTAGAATGAACTTTCCTCATGGAACTAGACTTAAAGGGAAAGCAGAAGGGTTGTGCTCTGGAGCCACCTAATTATTTTACTGTGGCACAAGACGGAATTGTAATTAAAAGAGAATTCTGAGAGGTTTACTGAGTAAGGTTTGTGTAGTTAAAAATACACAGAGCTAAAGGCCATTTTTGAACCAAAACATTCACAGAAGAAACTCTTCCCTTCTTGTCCTGTCTGCCTACCAAGTGATCCAGTGCTAAATGACATTTATGGTATCTGTGTGAAGCACAGGATGGAAAATCTTTGATTTAGCCTTTGCTTGGTTTCCAAATAGTAGTTTGTACACTGTAAATTGTCAGTGGCAAGAGGCCGGGAGGCCCACTTGTGTAAAGATGGACTTGTGAGAAGCGTATGTAATCATTGCCCAAGCAAAGCCCATCTCCATCTCCTCCATCTCCGATTTCTTTTTACATAGGGTGAGAATCACTGGGATTTGTTTTATCTTACCAGTATTTATCAATTTTTTCGTCAGACTTTTTCTTTCTTTCTTTGCAGAGCAGTCGGTTTTGTTTTCTTTTGCACTTTTATATCCTGAGAAGTTTTTCCCAAGAATAAAATAGGGATGTGTGCTGGTGAGTACAGGTGATTCACAGGGAGTAGTAGGCTTGGGATCTGTTGATTTGTCTTCCTTCAGAGGACTGACCCTTCCCTTGCATGCAGTGGAGTAGCTTCCTGGCAGGGTACATATTACACAGATTTTTGTGATGGTTTTGTCCTCAGTTTTACTAAGTGAGGAGATGACCTGTCATGAAGATGCACCATTTATACCACTTACATGATTATTTATGTGAGAGAGGTTCCCCACCCCCCCCATACTAGGGATTTAACTCAGGGCCTCATGCTTGCTAGGCAAGTAGGCAAGCATCTGCTACTTGAGCCATGTCTCCAATCTTTTGCTTCTGGTTTGTTTTTTCAGATAGGTCTCTTGCCATCTTCGCATTGACTAGTCTTAAACTTCAACCCTCCTCCCTGTACTTCCTGAGTGGTTAAGATCACAAGTATGTACCCCATGTCTGGCTAAATCTCTTATTTATTTATTTATTTATTTATTGGGTCCAGTTATGGGGCCTGAACTCTGGGCCTGGGTGCTGTCCCTCAGTTCTTCAGCTCAAGGCTAGCGCTCTGCCACTTGAGCCACAGCACCACTTCCAGCTTTTTTCTTTTTGCTTATGTGTGCTGAGGAATCGAACCCAGGGCCTCATGTATGCAAGGCAAACACTCTACCACTGAGCCACCTCCCCAGCCCTGAATCTCTTATTTTTGAATAGAGTAATAATCTGTCATCCAAAAGAATGATCCATGGAGATCTTTCAGTGAAACAGTTTTTTTTTCCTAGTGACAACTATACACTAAGAATAAAACAGCGACTAGAAACATTAATTACTTGTAGAAGGACAAACATTTACATTTCATGTTGATTCTAAACAGGAAGAACAAGCCTAAGTTCTTAGAAAAGACTAGGGCAGAATTTTGTACTTTCATCTTTCACTTAATAGATTAATTGCTGTTCAAATGATCTGATATTCAGAAAGATATTATTTTCTCTTACCTTGCTCTATCATAAAGAAAATATGAGTCTTATGTCCATATTATTTTCTCTTACCTTGCTCTATCATAAAGAAAATATGAGTCTTATGTCCATAAGACTCTTATCTCCAATAAACCACTCAGAAAACCGGAAGTGGTGCTGTGGCTCAAATGGAAAAAAATGTACTCATACCTAAGTAACTGTAACTCCTTTGCATATCACCTTTCCAAAAAAAATAAATAAAAATTTAAATAAATCAAAAAAAAGGAAAATATGTCACAGAAGAATTTGGAAAAGTAGATTTTAAAAATAACTCATCTAACTACTTTAAATTTTATATATTCTCTTCAGGTTTTTTCATAACTTTTTAAGTTAAAAATGTACCCAGGAACTGGTGGCTCATGCCTATAATCCTAGCCATTCAGGAGGATTGTGGTTCAAAGCCAACCCGGGCAGGAAAGTCTGTGGGACTCATATCTCCAATTAACTACAAGAACACTGGTGTTGTGGCTCAAAGTGGTAAAGTGTAGCCTTGAACAAAAGGTGACTAAATAAATAAATAAAAATATAAATTTCCTGTGTATCTAGGGAAAAATATAATTCATACAAATTCACCATAACTGAGAATGGAAAAAAATGAAGAACACAATTGTACCTTTCTAAATTTAAAGTACTAAACTATCTGTAACTCTGCCATTAATGCCAGCATCCCTGTACGTCTGTCTTTATCTTCATATAAAGTAGAAAGTTATAGATTCAAGAGTATTATATAGATACTGGATTTAACAGTGACATTCATGAAGCTAGGGTACCTATTAACTTTGTAGTTTCATGACTGACATTTGATTTCTGTTTTGCTTTGCTTCCATATCAGAGATGATTGTTGACAACCAGATTGAGACAGGCCTATTGAAACCTGACCTTAAGGATAAGGTAACCTATACTTTGCTCCGGAAGCATCGACATCAAACCAAGAAATCCAATCTGCGTTCCCTGGCTGACATTGGGAAGACTGTTTCCAGTGCAAGTAGGATGTTTACCAACCCTGATAATGGTAATGTAGCTGGCTGGACGCTACCTTCTTTTACCTGTCTGTCTCACTCACCTTTCCTCTCCATCTCCTGCCATCCTTTCTTCCTCCTCACTGGACTTCTCTCTTATTTACTCAAGTTCATATGCCACAGTCATTTCATGATATATATTTTTTATCCAGTTAGGCGGTGTACAGTCTTGCTGGAAAGATTTTACTGGTTTTGGAGGTTGTAAATATGATCGCGCCTCACTTGGTCCTTTTGTCTACTCTGATGGAGAAGTTTTGCTTATAACTCTGAAGAAATAGCTAAATATTTCAGCTGACTCGACACACGTGTCGATATTATTGTGTCCCTCAGGGACTGTGTCTTCAACATGATAGTTTACCAGAATTAGGAGTAGATAATAAGGTAGGGTAAATGCTTTGAAATCTCATATCATAGTGTTTGCTTTGTTTGAGAGATGGCATCCAGCCTATAAATGATCATTTCAGCCAAGTAAGACTCCATATTATTTAAAAAAAATCTTATTAGATAAATGATTATATATTAACCCAATTATATAACAATAGAAAAGGCACTATGTCCTACTTACATTTAGTATTTACCAGAGATTCCTTCCTTCCTTCCTTCCTTCCTTCCTTCCTTCCTTCCTTCCTTCCTTCCTTCCTTCCTTCCTTCTTCTCCTTCCTTCCTTCCTTCCTTTCTTTTTCTCTCTCGCCTTCCTTCCTTCCTTCCTTCCTTCCTTCCTTCCTTCCTTCCTTCCTTCCTTCCTTCCTTCCTTCCTTCCTTCCTTCCTTCCTTCCTTTCTTCCTTCCTTTCTTGCTTTCTTTCTTCCTTTCTTGTAGATTTTATGCTTTGGTGAAATGAGAAGGGAGCAGTAAGTGTCTGTGAAGTATAGGAAATAAAGGTGTAAAAAGCATTGGGTTAGCAGAATTAGAGCTACACTTGAGTCCCATCCTGTCTATTTTGGTATTAAGAGAAATAGATAGATAAGGGAGATTCTAATCCATTGCCTTTAGCTACACTTAAGAATAACAGGTGTGAAAAAATGAACTGTATAAACAGAATTCCAACTTAGACACTTGCTTCCAGAAACATGATTTTTCTAACAATAGTAAAGAAAATGGAAGAGTTTATTGTAAGCACACTTTCTGTTATTTTTTAAAAGCAGTACTGGTTACAAAAATAATTAGAATATAAATGCTTTTTATAAGATATATTCATAATAAGGAGCATTCCTAGTACAGTTGGATGGTTCTACTAATACCTACATATTGTTGGAAATCATTTTTTTTTGTGCCAGAACTGGGGCTTGAACTCAGGGCCTTGCACTCTCTCTTGGCTCAAGGCTGTCACTCTACCACGTGAACCATAGCTCCACTCATGATTTTGTTTTGTTGTTAATTGGAGATAAGAGCTGCATGGACTTTTCTGCCTGGACTGGCTTTGAGCTGCGATTCTTAGATCTAACCTCCTGAGTAACTAGAATTACAGGCTTGAGCCTGTGTACCTCCTTTTAATTCTTTGTTTTTGAATTGCATTTTTGAAAAGAAAAGTTGTTTAATAGGAAAAATAAAGGATGAACAATTTGTTGTAATTAGTGTTATCAGTATTTCATTTTAAACAACTCATATAATTTTGAAATTATGGCAGCCTCTCCTATGCACCTTAGGTGATCTTCTTTATCATATTAAATTAAGTTTCAAGAATTGGAAATTTTTGTTTTGTTTCAAATCATGGAGCTGTTGGTAGCAGAAAGGAGTAAATAAGTTCACTATTTTCCCATGTTGCTATATTTGCAGATAGTGACTATAGTTGGCAGGCAGAATGCTTTCTACTAGAATGGTGGGTACATTTCCATGAGCTGGAAGGAAATGAGAGATTGGGAATAGGTGAATGTCAGAGTCCAGTAGCTTGTGCATTTGGAGAAAAAAATCTGGTTGTGGAACACTAAGAACGTGTTGCTATTGCTCATCATTCAATCTTCCATTCTCTCAATGGATATCTGTACTTCGGAAGAAACTTGAAATTGCCCTTCTTATTCTCCTTTTCACTCGTGAAGTGCTGTGTATACTGGACAGAAAGCAAATAGGAAAGGCAGGCAGTTCTTTTCAGCTCTTTAAATGATGAGCTTACACCCTGCAGCATGGGATGTGATTAGTTTTCTTTTTAAACATGTTATTATTGGCCCTTGTGATACCAAGCTCTCTTTAAATATCACAGGCAAGGTTTGTTTTTGAGAGATCCTTTAGAAATGATTTTCATGTACCTCCAAGGTACATTATTGCAGATTATAAGATAGCACATTTTTGGCTTTCTAAACTGACAAGTTTACACAGTTACCCTTATGTCTCAGAGTTTAATCACTCAATATCTCTACCAACTATGAGATGTTCTCAGATTAAATTTCTTAAAAGAATTATATAACTATTACTACTATTTTAACAAACCAAGATCCTATGTCTACTGTTGTGGAAACCAGATTCTAATATTTTCATGGACAACCTAGATAAATTTAAATTACCTTGGTCTTATATAATAGACTAAAAAAATGGACCCAGTAGCCGAGCACATGGGGCTCATGCCTTCAATGCTAGCTGCTGAGGAGGCTGAGATCTGAGGATTGAGGTTTGAAGCCAGCCCAGGCAGAAAAGTCCCTGTGAGACTCTTATCTCCAGTTAATCACAGAACTGTCAGAAGTGGCACTGTGGTAGAGAGCTAGCCTTGAACAAAACGGAGCCCAGGGACAGTGCCCATACCCAGAATTTGAGCCCCAGAACCACCAAAATAAAATATAAAAAGGTATAACTGTACAGTTTTTTTTACAACAAAAAATGTATTAAAAAAGTAAAAGTAACATTGCCAGCTTTAGTTACACAAGCAACCGTGTTAATAAATGGCTAAAATTTGTGGACTTACTTTTTCCAGGCAGTAGCACTTATCCCTTCATAAGAGCCAGTTGCTATCAGAGATATTGGTAGCCATTTATTACCTGCTGCTACTACTAAGAATTAAATTATGTAAACATATAATTAAATGACTATATTAAATATGAAGGCAATAAATACCCCAATTCACTGTTTCTTATTTTATGACATTTGTTCTGGAATCTGTGCTCTTCCCAAATCAGCCTTCTAAGTGCTTGAGTTTACAGGTATATGCCACCATGTCTGTAACTACTAAAACCAAATTTTATTTGTAATTGCTCCAGACAGAATCGTGGGAATAAACATAGCTTTCACTGTGTGTATTATTGTGAATTGTTACATACCTGAGAAAACTCTGAATTCTGATGGTCATGTCTGCCAGACACTAAATTTTAGGGATATTTCACGATACATTAATAGAGGTACTTCGGTTGAGTTACTGGCGCATGAAGAATGAACGGGGTTTTAGATTCCTTTGGTATTGGATTTTCCTGGTACTGGATTTTGTCTGAGATACTTAAGTAATAGTTCTCTATTATTTTAATTTATTATGAAAGAGTAATAATCCAGCATGGGGACACTTGGTGTAACATCTTTCAAATCAATTAATTGCATTAGAAAGTAAAAGTAAAGTTTATACTTAATTGGTCATTATTCAATAAAGATTTTATAAGATTTTATGAGGTTAATTCATAAACATGCTTTAAAAATCATGATTTGAATTAAAAAATATCAAAGGAAAACATATCATTTTTTTCACACTTATAAAAGAAGACCGGGACCTGAGTTAAAGGCTTAATTCTAGTGTTCTGCTATCACTACCATTATCAGTTTGTTCCTTTATTCTTGGTTTTTCCATTTCTTTCTCAATTCTATTATAAAGGTTAGTTCTTTTTACCCTTCATCGTGTGGAAGCATAGATATCTTTGGGTCAGAGCAGCTTTGGTGATCCAGTTAGACCTGTGCTATCAACTTCCCTTTTCACCAGTCCAATTTCATGATCTCATCCTTCTTCCTTTCCCTTTCCCCTTTCTCTCTGTCTTTCTCTTTCTTTCTCCCTTCCTTCCTTCCTTCCTTCCTTCCTTCCTTCCTTCCTTCCTTCCTTCCTTCCTTCCTTCCTTCTTTCCTTCCTTTCGTTCTTTCTTTTTTCTTTCTCTCCCTCCCTCTCTCTTTCAGTTTTTCTTTCTCTTTCTATCTCTCTTCCTCACCTCTCCTTGCCTCTCATACTCAGAGCCTTGCACTGTCTCTTGGATTTTCTCTCAAGTTTTCTGCTATATCATTTGAGACACCTTCACTTCCAGCTTTTTTTTTAGCTTTTACATCAACTTTATTCTCAGAGCCAACCTGCATGAGTTGACAATACCCCCACCATTGCCAACTATTAAAAGAATCATATTCTTTTTACATGTGCCAAACTCATATTCAACAATGAGTTCTGGGTTGTAGAGGATTTGCTGTTTGCACCTGTCTATATGGCTTTGTTACAAATGAAACAAAGGCACACATACAATTGCTACCACTTCCAGCTTTTTTTGCTGCTCAATTGGACATAAGAGTCTCACAGACTTTTCTGCCTGGGCTGGCTTCGAACTGCAATTCTCAGCCTCTTGAGTAGCTATGATTAGAGGTATGAGCCATCAGCACCGAGAATGACCTAATTTCTCATGAGTGGAAAGTTATTTCTATTTTTCCCAACAAAAATTGCAAAGGTAATGAAATATCCAATAGAAATAACGAATCATTCAACGAACGTTACTTAACTTGGTACAATATGTTTAATCACAATTAAGGAAGAAAAAAATCTCCTACCAGTGGAGTATTTTCTGGATTGTTTTCCTTGTCACTTACTATTTAGGAGAAGCTCATGGATATAGGCCTGGTTTCTTTCTTCTGTCTTATGGTAAGGGATATTGGTACCTTTTAGCAATAGGAAGGGTAGAGGCCCTTTCTCATTACCACCTTTTTAGTACAATAGTCTGTCCCTTAAGTTTTCGTCTAAATCTTAGTTGAAATCTAAGATTTACAAATAATGATGGAGTTGTGGGGGGTGGCAGCTGGCTGTGCGGTAACCAGCTTGTTAAGGTGTCTAGGGCCTCTATATTTATAGGGACTCACACACTGCTCCTGATTACAACCCAAGGTTTTGTCCTCAGTTCACCACATTTTCTCCCCTTTCTACTCTCATGCATAAGGCATGTACTTTACTTGCTGCCAGGACTTGTTGCTCCCATTTTCTCCTGGGCACATCCTCCCTGTTGGGCAGGATGCTGCTTTGAACATAGACATAGTTAGCAAGGTAGAGAATACAATGGAAAGAAAATAAGGTCAGGCACTGGTGGCTCATGCCTGTAATCCTAGCTACTCAGAAGGCTGAGATCTGAGGATTACAGTTCAAAGCCAGCCTGGGCAGGAAAGTCTGTGAGACTCTAATTTTTAGTAAACCACCAGAAAACTGAAGTGGCACTGTGGCTCAAGTGGTAGAGAGCTAGCCTTGAGCTGAAGAGCTGAGGGACAGCGCCCAGACCCAGAGTTCAAACCCCACAGCTGACCAAAAGAAAGAAAGAAAAGAAAAGAAGGTTTTGTTTGTGGGTTAGTAATAATTCTTCATTAGTTAGGAACTTGTTGCTTTGAATCGGATTTGAGTTTCGACCTAGTCAAACTATTTGGTCTTCATATTAGATGAAGCCGTCTGGACCCTGGCACATGTTGGGTGTGGTAGGACCACTGCCAGAGTTGGAAGCTATCTCAGTTCCATTAGCAGTTCTTTGGTTTGTGCTGGGCTTTGGATTCCAACTTGCTAGTTGTCTCTGGCTGAATTGCTCTACTTTTCAGCCTGTCCCCACACTCTTGAATTCAGACATGGCCCTTGAAAGGGCAAACATTTCTCTAACTTTTCTCACAGGCTCTGTTCCTCTGATCCAGGCCTTCATGTATCTCTCATTCTGCTGTGAGTCAGGTAGTATCTTGCAGCCCATATCCAATGACGATGACAGTCATCTTCCCAGGTACCTTTCTGCATGCAGTCAGTGCTTTCCAAAACTTTGGAGCCCCTTCCATCTGTTTTGTTCTAGACTCTCATTCTCTATGCATTTGTACAGCACAGATGACTTTCCTGGCCAATATCCAGTGAATGGCCAAGCCCTTCCTAATCTTAGAATTTAACAACCAATCCATGGATTGTTTCTAGCACAATGTCTGAATTAAATTATCCTTTAGTAATAGGAACTGTTTGTGGTTAATATTATATCCATCCATCCTGCACCATTCTTAATTTTCTTTCTTTGCCCCAGGCAATGACTGACCTTCCAAATGTATAAAGTTCAAATCTTTAAGTAAACAATAATTTATTTTTCTCCAGGGGGACATTCCATCTAGAATTTGCTAATCTACCCTGCTCTCCACAGCAGTGAAGACTTTGGCTTCAGGTTTTTCACATTAAAGCCTTCTTCACATCTTCTTGAAGACACGATGCCATCTTTTCTAATATTTAGAAGCAGCTGGGTTATTTTTTTTAAATGGTGGTACTGAGGCTTGAACTCAGGGCCTCTAGCTTTTATTTGGCTTTCATGCTCATGGTAGGTGCTCTAACACTTGCACCACACATCCATCTAGCATTTTGCTGGTTAACTGGAGATAGAATCTTTCAGAATTTTCTGTCAAGGCTGGCTTCACATTTCAAGCTTCAGATCTCAGCCTCCTGAGGAGCTGGTATTACATGTGTAAGTCACTGATGTCCACAACAACATAATTTGAGAAATTTATGTAAGTCTTCTTTTGAATCTTTTTATATTTTGTAAAATAAGGATAGTCATTGTTAGTTGTATATGTAACCAACAGTAAATGAGATTTGTGAAAATAATAACTACATGAGATACTGTTGTCAGGAACAGTTATGAATAAGAATAATATTAAGAGATAACCTTAATGACTTTTGAGGGCAGAAATTTAATTTTCTGCTCTTATTTCATATTTTCTTTTTCCCTATGTTTCTCATTCCTTTACCCTCTTCACTCTAATCTGAAAACATTCTTGGAGTTTTATTTTTAAAACAGTGTTACTTTATCAGCTTCACAGTTGCCAAATAATAATACATAACAAGCTGTCATTCATAGGCTTTATAGTATTTTAAATTTAGAGTATGAATGCTGTGTGAGCATCGACACGTCTTTGCCACCAATAAACAATACATGCCTAACAGGATGTTACCACGAAATGAACTTCTTTTTAAATTTTACTAATGGTCTCTTTTATATAGCCAGGGTCTGTGATGTATGAAGAGAACTGGAGTGATTCTTTTTGGGTTAGCCTACCACAGATGAGTACTCACTTCTTCCTTTACCCTCTCCAGGAAAAGCCATGTATTTAAGGAACACTGAATGACTTGCTGCTGCCAACCCTGAGAAATCTTCCAAAACAGGAGAGTGTTAGTAGAGTCTTGTTCTCCTAGCCACCTCTTGCTCTGACAGCAGATGGAGGAGTAGGTGTATACCTGGGACCATATCTGGTCTCTGCAGAAGAAAAATGGAGGAAAGAGGAGGGAGGATAAGGAAATGTGAGAAGGGAAGGTAAGACATAGATAAGGTGTGGGCTGTTCACTATGACCCCTCAAAAGTTGAAGGGGGGACAAAGTCCACCCATTCAAACCCTGTTTAGTACAAACACAAATGTCTAAGAGGAGGCCTTTCATGGATTGTGAAGCAAGTTTCTTAAAAATAGTGTGTGAGCTCAAAGTGTATTTTTTGTTGGATTTGACAAATTTATTTATGTAATGCAGAATACATGTATACAATGTAGAGCAGTTCAATCAGGCTAGTTAACCTGTTACCTTAAATAATTATCGTTTATTCCTGCTTTTCACTGAAACAGCATGTCATTTGATCAGTGTCTTTCTATCCTCTGGTATAACCAGTATTTCTCTTTGGGCTTTTATGAGCTCTGTTGTTTTAGAATTCACATAAAAGTGAGACATGTTATTTGTTTGTCTGTATCTGTCTAATTTGATTTTAGCATTATGATCTCTATGTTTGTCCATGTTATCACAGGCATAATTGTCCTCTTTATTGGGCTCAATAGTGTTATTTTTAGCTTGTGTGTGTATGTGTGTGTGTGTGTGTGTGTGTGTGTGTGTGTGTATGTGTGTACACATACCACATTTTCCAAATCTATTTATTGGTTGATTGGCATTTAATTCCATATCTTGGCTTTTGTGAATAGTGCTGCAACAAACATGGACATGCAAACACCTCTTCCTTATATTGATTTCAGATCTTAAAGCTGAATTTAAATTAGACTAAAGATACTTAGTGTTTTTCAACACCCTTCAGATGCTGAACAAGGTAAGCATCATTCCATTGAGGATATCAACAGCAGTAGCAACAATAATACCTCCCAGTTTTTAGCACCTACTGTATACCAGCCATTGCTGTCAGTGGTGCTTCAAATGTCTCTAATATCTCCATTTGCAAGTGATAATCTTGATACTCAAAAAATGTAAAAAATGTATATTAAATGGAGGGACACATCATGCTCAGTAACAATATGCCAGTTCAGGTACAAGGGCAATGAGCTTCCTCATGGATAACTTATTTATCACATACTAATGAATTCAGACCTCTTACTTTGTGTCATCATGTAATGTTGACGGGCACTGGTACCATTATCTAGGCAAGAATATGCATCAGACATGGAGGATATAGAAGATAGTTGAATGCCTTTACTGGATTTCCAAGAGGAAATTTCTGGGCAACATGTCTTATGTGTTTAAAGTTGAAATATAGCTATAATCTTGCACTAAATTTCTTGAGTAAATTAAAGTGAAAAACAAACACAATTAGGTGCTCAATAATTATTTAATTATTCACCATTGCACTCCAAAAAGAATTCCAGTGGAACTTGCCCCTGGCTTGGGGCAAGCTGATTCCCATGGGGAGTATGAACCATTAAAATCTATTTACCCTTTTCAACAACTTCTATAATCTAGGTATTGGAAACTGTCACTCAAAAGTCTTTAGAGCCATATCTTTCCCCATCAAGCCGCATAAGCTAGTTTCTACCTTGTTTATGCCTGAAGTCAGGCAAAAATGACTTAAAATAGGTAAGACAGTAGCAAGATGAGTTGCTTATTTTGTAGCTCAAGTGGAGAAGTGGTACCGTGAAAGCTATGTTTGGAGATGGCATACATAAGGTATCATTTCCATCTCCTCGTAGAAACTTCAATTCTAGCTTTGGGAGTTTTTCAGAATTTCATCTTTGGAATGAATTATAAGGAGAAGTAAACAACACTAGAGGGTTACAGAGTTTGCATCTCTTCCATTGCAGAACACAGAGGCTCCAGCAAATCAAAATGCTGTAATTTGCCAATATAAGTAATGGATGCTGTGAGCCTCCCGATTTTCATGAGGGTAAGCAGCCAGATGGCTCTAGTCAGGCTTTGCTAACACACAGGTGCCAAGTCTCTATGGGCAGTTCCATTTTCATGCTTGTCTTGCGCCAGGTTCTTTGCTGGTTTGTATGTGCCAGGCTCCAATCCACTTTCCCCTAGATATGGAGGCTCAGTACCAGTGCAGGCAGTGTATGTGAAAAGGAGTTTGCAGCTGTAGGTTCTAGTAAGTCTCATACTGACATGTTGAGGGGATTGAAGGGATTGAAGAAAGTTAGTTGTCAGCATCTGAGTTCTGAAGAAGCTGCTGGCCACCTGTACTCATTCTAGGAACAAGGCATGGCAGCAGTGCTTTTAAGTCTGGGTGTCTGCATTCTCATTAGAAGCTAAAGGAGCACAAAGGTTCTTCTGAGTTTACTTTGCATTAGTGTCTGTAATAATGCATTTCAGCAGGTCCTCAAGAAGTTTGTACAACTTGATAAGCCTTCAGGAATATTAGTCCTTCAAGTTGACAAAGGAGATTAGGAAATGAGACCTGTTCGTTATGATAATATACATTTCTAAATGCTTCCTTCTTAACAAAAGCAATTTTGGAATAATCTCAACTGGTTCATTGCCTTTTTTCATTTTTCTTAGTGCCATAAAAACTTGCAAAGTAGTTCAATTATGGGAAACAATTAAAAATTCAGATTGCAAAGAGAAGACATCATATTTGCTTCAAACAGGTGCTGGCACAGATGGCTTGCTCACAAGTCCTGGCTTTATTTACAGCTTTTAAACCCAGACAGATAAATTGACAAAAATGTTTCTGGATTTTATAATGTACTGAATGCCCAAATTTGGCCATAAACTTACATTAATTTGTAAATGATTCAATTTAAAACTTGACCTCCCAAGTCACTGGTAGACTTTTAAAAAGATCATTTGCTTGCCCTGTCTTTTGCACAATTATGTGAGCAGATTAATTTTGCTTTTGATTGGACATGGTTGGTTTATTGCCTAGATCTTGTAATGACTATTTGTACAATTAAGGAAAAAACTCTCAAGTCTAATTGCATGTAGTCTGCTGGTTCTGTGCTTTTGACAACTATTTCATTCTAAAGGATTATTAGCTGTCCATTCTTTTTCGCCCGCCTTGGAGTATGGTTCTTGGTGAGAATAGCAAAGCACATGACATGAAATCCAGAGCCCAAATAGAACCATCCTGAGGAAGACCAGACCTAGTTTGTCATTGTGTCGGGAGGAGCCATATCATGATGTCTTGCATCATTACTTGCTTGTTCAAGATTTGCATACATAGATGCATCACTTTGCTGGAAAGATACTTGACTTAATGGGACAAGTTTTTGTTCATCCTGAGATGGTGTTTGTTGTACAACATTCTTCCGGGCTTCTCTTGGTATCAACTTTAGTTTTTAGGAAGCTGTATTAGTAATCTCTATGCCTCTTATAGACACAAACACCTGTGTTGTCCCTCCCTGCACACCAGCTATTATATGGGCACTGTATATTCAGGTGAGTCTCTATCCTCAGCGGGTTTCTGTTTATTTCAACTGTGGTTTCTATTCAAGGGGAAAGGATACTACCTATTCTAAAATCACAGTTGAAATAAGTATGAAGAGGCACCAGAAAAGGAAGACTAACATTGCACTGGTTAATGGGTTTGTATGAAGGTACTTATTTAGCTGAATCCCAGTGTCCTGTCATTAGAGGGCTGCAAGGCAAAGAACATTGAAAGCCAGCTCTGTACTCATCAGGAAAAATATTTCAGACATAGAGGTCTGAAATGTTGCTTCCTGCATTTGTATGCAAGATCCATAGAAGGGTCTGTTGGGTAGACCATCCAAAACCCGCTTACTCATATACTACTGCATCCCCTGAGCTTCACAAATATGTATGTCATTTTCCTTCTGTGTGCTAATGTGGTGCAAAATTATTAACAGTCTTGATCTTACATCTTGAGATTGCTGTTCATTATGTAAACCTTTCTTCTGGATGCAGTCCATGTATTCTTGTATGTGCACTACAGGGTGGATCATCCACTGATATTTGGGGAACTCTAATGACTGAATGTAATTTCTGTTTTTCAAAGACTTTTTCATTCTGTGTTGGGATGCAGGGTCATGGGAGGGGGTGTGTTTCATTGTAATTTGTCATTGTTCTTCTTTAACCCGCTTGTGTGATTTGCTTTAGTATTTTTTTTCTTCTTAATTAATGCTTCCATCCTCATCCTTGCTGTGGCTGCTCATATGTCCTCCTCCTCCTCCTGTCTTCTGCTTCTGACACTAAAGCCCGCAGCCCGCTTGAGAACTCAGTGCCCTGCCTAGCAAATTGCACGTTGGACGATGACCCCCGAGTGCGGCGCACTCCCAGCGAGGGATGGCTAAGTAAGTCAATGGTTGGGAAGGGGTTAAGGATGGTGGGCGCGGGAGGGCAGGACGTGATTTGGGTTCATGGTTCCTGAGTGGAGGGCAGCCTTAATGTCGGAAAAGGCGAGTCTTATGGGTTCTTCAACTCCCAGTTGTTGGCTGGTTCCTTCTACCAAAGAGGACAGAAGTATAGAATTTTCTGGGTGATCTGCTGGCCTGAATGCAAGTTGAATTCCTGGTAAGGCAGTGGGAAGACTGAGAATATGGGTTGTGGCTAGCCCTGGCAGCTTTCCTTCTCTGTGGCACTTCTCAGAAGCTCAGGTTAGTCATGGGGATCCTTCCTTGTCTCTTCAGAGGATTGTGAGGATGCCCACCTCAATAAGGCCTCAACTTTAGGTATCAGCTTTAAGTTTTTAGTAATCTCTGTGTTTCTTAGAGACATCAATAAATGTTACATCTGCCCTTGTACAAGTGCAGATGAGTCTCTGAATTCAGAGGGTTTCCTTTCTAATGAGGGAAACAGCATAGAAATGGATGTCAGTTGTTCAAAATAAGTGAAATTTATGAGAGCCCTCTCTCTCTCTCACATACACACAAGGTGTTTTGGAAACACCTTGGCTTGTGAGTGGTGATGTTGGAAAAGACTTTTCAAGCATATGATTTTGGCTTACATCTTAAAGGAAAAGTATGACTTTTGTAATGGGAGAATTAAGGAAAAGCCCACTATGGAACTATTAACTTTGCTATAGAATAGGTCTAATAAAATTGAATAGGAATTCTTCTTGAATAGCAATAAAATTAAGAAGCATTAATTCATTGATTTTCATTACTTCTCACAAACGCAGGCTAACTACTTTATGTGATACCATTTAATTTTCTGAGCAACACCATGCAATTGCATTATCACCATCTGTACTATGCACATGAAGAGATGAGATTTTTTTTCCAAAATCAGTGAAATTTATAAAGGTCTAGGATGAGACTTGATCTTTATAACATGAGTGGTGTCTTATTTAAGTTAAACTATAGGAAATCTCACTGTAGCACATGGCCAGATTGCCAAAATGATTTGAACCCCCATTCCCTTTGAGGTTTCAGTACCCACATAATGTTTCTAGAAGAATCATGTATTCTTTCTAATAAATTAATATATTTCTCAGTGATGCCTATTGGGGAAAAATTAATTCAGGGAAGCAGCTCAGGAAGGATTGGGTTTAGTCTTAGATCTAGCATTCCTGGTTTCATGACTTCAGGCAAATTGCTGCTACTATAAATTTGGGTTTCTCATCTATGAAAGTGAATTAATTTCAACTTATGTAATCAATAACACTTATGCTATTAGTGTTTATAGGAATTGCTCAAGAAATTATACTGTTTCTGTTCTTTTAAAGTTTTATGTATTCTATGTCAGATATTCAAATGATTTCTGTGGGTAAAGCATCAAGAAAATTGATAACTATGATGAGTTTGTAGATGATCAGAAAAGATGGAAACCATTTGAAAGTCAGACTCAGACTACACCCTGAGTTAATCCTTCTAAGAACACCTATTTTAGTAATGGGAAACACTGTCTCATCATCTATTCATGTTGTATTCTCTCTCTCTCTCTCTCTCTTTCTCAACGGTTATCCTTAATGTATAATCTGTTTCACATACTCTAAGATTCCCAATTATTTACTATATTCAACAAAGTCAGTATAAGATATTCATTGAGCCTGGTGCCAGTGGCTCAAAGCTGGCCTGGGCAGGAAAGTCTGGGAGACTCTTAAGCCCAATTAACCATCAAGAAGCAGGTAGTAGAGCTGTGGCTCAAGTGGTACAGTGCTAGCCTTGAGTGAAAAAGCTCAGGGAAAGTGTCCTGGCTTTGAGTTCAAGTCCCAGGCTGGCACAAAAAAAATAAATAAAAGATAAATTGATTAAAGTATACACATCAGTGTTAGGTCCTGTTGTTTTCACCTACCTCCCCTCTCTCATTTTCATGAATTTCTCTTTGAATCTGTTTTTCCTTTTCCTTTTGTCTTCTCAAGTGCCTTACCCTTAAGCTTTAGTTGATTTCCTGACCACCCACAACTGCCTTTATAAGAAATCTACTCAAAACGCGAATGAAGTTCCATTTCTTCATAGCCTTATTCTTTTATAGCACCAAACATCTTCCAAGTGTTAAAAGTGCCATAGCTTCTGTTTTCCATGTCTCACAGTTGGAGATTTATATTTTATGGTTTATGTCTCATCCGTAGATTTTCATTTCATCTACATATAAAATGTTCCAGGAGTTGTGTCTCAGGCTTACATGTCTTCTCTAGTGTGAAGGAGATACTTCAAATATGGATGTTGTATAGTTTTCATGTTCTGAAATAATTTTTTGTGTGCAGTTGTTGGTACTGGGGCTTGAACTCAGGGATTTACGTTCCCTCTGGCTTTTTTGCTCAAGGCTGGTGCTCTATTACTTGAGCTATACTTCTGCTTCTGGCTTTTTGCAGGTTATTTGGAGATAAGAGTCTCGAGAATTTTTCTTCCTGAGCTGTCTTTGAACCTTGATCCTCGGATCTTAGCCTCCTGAGTCGCTAGCATTACAGGCATAAGCTACTAGCACCTGGCTTCTGAAATAATTCTTAGTACTCATAATTTCATTAACAACAACAACGACAACAACAAAACCCGGGTTTTACTGGAGACCATCTTGGCCACGGGAGACCATTCACCAGAAGTAAAGAGTGTTTACATATAGGAAATTTTTCTTCATATTAGTGATCTAGTAAATTTGATTCTTAATTCTTCTAGTAGCTAACACAATATTACTTTTTAAAACATGGCCAAAAATATCAGTTAAAAAACAGATGTGCAATACTATTCTATTAGAGTAATCTTTCAATATTCTTAGCAAGCTATTTTCTGTACCTTAAAGTAGCTATCTTTAAAAAGCTGCTTTGAAAAGGTACTTTTGGGGCGTAAGCTCTCATCATTTCACATTGTGTGCTTCTTATCTTAGTTGTCACCTGAGGCAGACGTGAGCTTAGAGCTCTACCCAGATGCTGCACCGTATTGAATTACAAGTTGGAACAAAACCAGAAATGATATCCTCACACAGATCTCACAGGCAGGTCTGAAACCAGCCAGGGCCACTGAGAACAACAGAGAAGCTTTCGCCTCCACTTTTCAGGACAAGTTAATACCAACCTAAATGCTTTGCCATTATAGAGCCTAAGAACATATCCTCTCTTTGTAGATCCGGAATGGCTCTTCACTCTGAACGCTTATCTGTGAATTCAGTTTGACATCTAACAGCCAGCATCATTTGAACCCTTCGAAAACACTTGTCCTGTTACAGTTAGTGGCGGTGGAGATCAGCTGCTTCATACTTTCAGGTCTGAGGTTCAAAGAAGAAAGTGAGGCTCAGAGATTTTCCTGCCATGGTCTGCACATTCCTGGTGTCTGGCCTCACTTTGCTTTGTCCTGGTCTGTCTGGCTAGTTTGTATATCCACAGACAAGGACCTGGTCCAGTTCAGTGCTTTGCCTTTTAGTTACTTACCCACTATGTATTTTTATTACTGTCCTAAGTATAATTATTAGTTAAGACTGCCTCCCCTCTCCTCAAATGAAACCACAGTGGTTTGCCTTTAGATTCTTGCTTCACCTTTCAATAGTTATCACTAAAACTTAAAAGAACTAAGTTTTTAGTGGGGCTTTTGTTGTTCTCTGTGTTTTAGTTTTGTTTAGACAGGGTCTCACTTTATAGCCCAGCCTGGATTTGAACTTCTGATTTTCCTTCCTCAGCTTTCCATGCATTGGGATTATAGGCATCTACCACCACTTTTAGGTCCTTTGGTTGATTTTATTCTTATTTTTGGCATTTGAAAGCCAAAGAAAATCCAAGTATGACTTTAAAAGTTCCTTCATTGTAGCTGTTTATTATCATAAATTTAAAAAGCCTCTTTCATCAGTCTGCTGTATCTTTAGAATTTTTTTTGGTTAGTGTAGACATTGGAAAACATGTAGTATACAAGAACAAGTTACAAGTTCTTAAAATATAGGTAATCTGACCTTTGTTTTTTTAAAGGAATGATTTCTTTATTCTGAGTTCAGAAAGAGGCCTTGTGAGTTATTATTTAATAGACTAAAATATATTTTGATATTAAGCAGTTTATAGAAGGGAGATGAGAATGAAGAAAAACTTAGAAATTTAATTTTATTTCAGAATACTGACTACTTAGTGGAGATTTCAAAAGGCATGGACTTAGGGAAAAGTTGAATTTGCTGAAATTATAGAGGATTTTCTTTTCTGAACGTCTTTTTCTTTTGCCAACCAGAAGAGTTTCAGTTTGTGAGAATTCAAACTGGTACTTGACAAAATGTTGATATGTCTAATGTGTTTATAATTTAACTCTTCCTTTCATCACTTTTCCTGACTTGTCTATTCCTTATTTCTTCCTACTTTCTTTCAGACTTAGAATCTTGGAGCCAAATTTGACTGTACACTTTCCTCCACCTGAAGTAGATTACTAAATCTGTTCAGTGTCATTTTAGTGATGTTGCTTGTCTTTGTCCCCTTTCTAGTCTGTGTGAGACAGAGAGAGAGAGGAGGCAGAAAGAGAGAGAGAGAGAAGGAAGGAGAAAGAGAGAGAGAAAGAGAGAGAGAGAGAGAGAGAGAACGAGAGAACGAGAGAGAACACTGTGGCCTGAATGAAAGACTAGGGCACTATACTTTAACTCTTTTGATCAAGGCTGGTGTTCTACTTCCAGATTTTTTTTTTTTTTGTCAGTTGTGGAGCCTGAATTCTGGGCCTGGGCGCTGTCCCTCAGCTCTTCAGCTCAAGGCTAGCCCTCTACCACTTGAGCCATAGAGCCACTTCCAGCTTTTTCTTCTTATGTGGTGCTGAGGAATCGAACCCAGGGCCTCATGCATGCAAGGCAAGCGCTCTACCACTGAGCCACCTTCCCAGCCCTACTTCCAGATTTTTATTGGTTAATTGGAGATGATCTCATGGACTTTCTTGCCTGGGCTGGCTTTGAACTTTGA